ATGAAGATGCTTTACATCAACCACCAGCTCGTGGCTGGAGTTATTTATTATAGGAAGAGCTGATAGGGAAAAAATTCATTGCAGTTACTAGTTATACCAGTGTGAGAAAAGGAAACCAGTCTTGCTGTTTCCCAAAATAAAAGTAGTATGTACTAGAACTGTAGTGTCTGAACTTAGTCTTATTTCATTGAAAGACCTGGGAAACTCTTGCAGGTTTCTTTTGTAAAGACAACACCAACTTTCATTTAAATATCTGGAAGGTTTCTTTTTAATAGCATCGGAGTATGTGCAAGGTGGTGGGTGGATTTGAGTCTCAAGAAGTGGGCACTTGAGGATAAAAGGGGTGGGGTTGAATCTCACCCCCAACTTGTATTGGCAATAAGCTGGAACACTTCATTTACCTGCTGCTTGATGTTTTTTCCAGGTAATCAGAGCGCAATGAACAGTAGCTACTACAGCAGTGGGAACCGTGCATCCATGGGAGTGAATGGAATGGGCGGGATGTCCAACATGTCCAATATGAGTGCTGGCTGGGGAATGTAACTGACTTTTGGTCAACCTTTTTTTAAAAAAAACAACAAAACAAAAAACTAAGTTTAACAGTTTTGCAATACAAGCTTGTGATTTATGCTTTACTGTAAGTGAAATCAGGATTATTTTAAAACTTCAGGTTCAGTATTTTTGAACACATGGAAGAAATAAACATTCACTTAGGATGTAATAACCAAGTTGAGTAAAGACTATAACTGTTAAACAATTTTCAGCTTTTTCTCAAGTTAGTTTTGTTGTAGGAGCGTATTTAAGCAGTAAGCGTATTTAGGTTAAAGCTGTTTCAATTATGTTAAATGTTGCTCTTATACCATATTACATCCAACACTGTTTTGAATGCATGTTGAAAAACATGCTTTTTTGTAAACAAATATAGGAGCTGTGTCTGCAATTCAAAGTGAACATTTGGCATGTTAGTTCTAGTTTATTTCTTTTAATATCCTGTAAGGCACGTTTAAGCTTTTTTTTAAGTTAATGGGGAAACATGTTGAGACGTGATAGAACTGATACTCTTCTGGTGAAATAGGAAAGGGCACAATACAACTTTCCTATTTTTAAATTAGGCTGAAAAAAAACTTAATACT